GGCTGTAGTCACATGTGGACACGATCATACAATTTTCTTTTAGCCTGTTCAGAGTGGGTTACACGGGGCGATTTTAGAATGCTGAACTGGCCTTAAGCATCTGGAATAAGCTCCACTTCCTCATGATGTAGAATTTTCTATATGTATTGCTGTTATCAACCAGCAGTTATTTCCTTAAAGAATTTCTGTGTCTGTATTCACAAGGGATATTTGTTTTCTCTTGCGCTTTCTCTTGTGCTGGTATGAGGATGGCGACTGGACTCCTAACACAAGCTGCACAGCGCTCCCTCCTCAACCATTTTCTGGAAACTACTGTATAAAAATGATGCTAAGTCTTCTTTAAAAGTCTCAAAAGAATTCTTCAATAAAAACATCTGGACCTAGATACTTCCTTCTTGGAGACTTTAAATTGCGAATTCCATTTCCTTACTGTTTGTAGACCCATTCCCATGATGTGTTTCATTCTGACCGAGTGTGCATAGTTTGTGGTGTGGGAAGAATGGATCCGCCTCGTCGGAGCCGGCGTGTCGCCTGGAGGAAAGCTACTGCAGCGTTTACTGGGGGCATCATTCTGCAGTGACCCTTTCAATGGCTCCGGACCAGCAGTAACGTCCCCTCTGTCATTCCTGAGGTGGCTGATCGCTTTTGCTCTCACTGGTTTACTATCCTGTCTTCCTATTTTCAGTTATCATTGATCTCCCGTGATATTTCTTATTTCCTTCCTGCTGCATGCACTGGTTTAGTTCTGGTCGTCTTCTAGTTTCCTGAGCTAGGAAGTCAGACTATTAACTTGAGATCTTTTCTTCTTGGGAATGCTGGCACTAACTACTACGGAACTCCCTGTCCGCACTGCTGTACGTGTATCCCTTGCACTCTAGTTTCATTTTCGTGCAGTTCTATTTTGTCTCCTAGATACTTATTCCATAACTAGAGTACACTGCTTACTTTTCACATATTTTAGAGTTCTCCTGTTTTTGTGCTGTTATTAATTTCTACTTTGACTCTACTGTGATGAAACAACCCACTGTAAAATTCAAATCATTGTCAAATCTTTGAGGTTTGTTTTATGGATATGCTTTATCTTGGTGCACGTTCTATGGACACTTGAAATAAATGTGTGCTCTTCCCCTGTCTGGGAGGGTGGCCTGTGCGCGTCGGTCAGCTCTTGCTGGCTGATTCAGGGCCGATCTTCCGTGCCACCGTTGAGTTCCTGCCCAGCATTTCTATCCAATGCTCAGAGACTGGGCTGAAGTTTCTCATTCATTGCTGTGGATTTGTCTATTTCTTTCGTTCAGCTCCAAGAGTTTTTGATTTTGTGAATTTTGTGATTCCGTTACCCGGTGAGTGCAAATTTACGGTTATTTTGTCTTCCTGATGTGTAACCCTAATTATCATTATGAGATGTGCCTCTTTCTCTCTAGTTGTTTTCTTTACTCTGAGCCCTATGTCACTGGATATTAATATAGGTCCTCCTACTTCTGATCAATTTTTTGTGGTGTAACTTTTCCATCCTGTTACTTTCTTTCATCCTACCTGCGTCACTGGATTTGAATTCCCTGTGAATGGCTGGGTCTCGCTTCCTTATCCACTCTGCCTACCTCAGGGTTGGTACATCTAGACTCTTCATCACGAGAGTAATTAGAGTATACATGACACATCAGAGTCTAAGTCTGCATTTTATTATTTGTTTTCTATTGGTTTCCTGTGGTAGTCATTCTTCAGTTTCAAACTTCCTGCTTTCTTGCATTTTACCTGAACCCTTTCCAGGGGTCCGTCTTAGTACCTCAGACTGTATTTCTCTGCATTTTTTGTAGTGTTTGTTCTGGGTATTGAAATATACGTGGTAATACTTACTCATTAAATTGTTTAAAATATTTACTAAATTGCATTACCTCAAAAAACAGGATAAAGAAACTGTCTTTCGAATTCAGCTGTTAAAAAAGATGTTCAGGCTGAGAAATGAAGGAGAACTCTCCCGCGTCACCTTCGATCCTGCTCTGCGCATGTCCTCGGGATCCTCCTCAGACACCCGGACTTCAGAGCTGATGTCAGGACCTGGACAATCAGTGACTGGGCAACCTTCAACTTCTTAGTCTCCAGTTCCAAAGAGTCACCCTACTTGACACATTCCTCAAGTAATAATATTTAGGTTGACATGTTTGTCTAAAATTTTAGTATGTCTTAGGAGGGCTCCCTGTTACACCAGGAAACAATCTTCGGTTTTCCTTCCTCACCCTGCACGCATGATCTAATCTTGACCCTGCGTGGTTCTCGTCTACCACGTTCCAAGTGCACGTCAAAGATCTGCTTCTCCTAGGGAGAGCGTGAGGGCGGACAATGAGGAGTTTAAACCCAGATCCATCTAACATGAAGCCCACATTTGCTCTCTCCTACTGTCCCAGGCTGCTGTCCTCCTGTGAGCTGTATGGCACCCTCAACACCCAAATACTGGTCTGGATTTGGTCAGCACATTTTAAATACCCATACAGTGACGATCAGTACACTGATTTCAACTTCACAGTCAGATACAGAATTAGAAGGGCTACTCTCCAACATAAATTCCGCCTTGGAAATATCCAAACATTAATTTCTGAGTAGCAGTATGGTCAAGTAACAGAGAAACTGCTTTTCTGGTTAGTGGTAAGTGTTGCCAGGATCCTTAATTAAAAAGGAAAAGGACAAAGCCATTTGCTACCATATCTCTGCTCTTTCTTTATGACAGTTAGGTCAGTCAGTAACTCGTATCACTACAAAAACCACAAAATTGGTTCAACAAATATTAATCCACTACTAAAAATATATCACTTTTTATATTAATTACTAGACATTATATCTCAGATTCCTAAATATTTATGTTTCTTAGGTAACCAAAATATGTGGAAAATTTTTATATGAAAATGAGTGTAAACTGGAAATATAAAAAAACTAAAGCAGGTACAGGGGCCGCGCCTATCTTTTAGCGTCCAACAACATTTCCTAAAGGTTAGTGAAAATATTTTAGAAGTCCTTCCTCTAGCTCTGCTACCAAATCCGTCAGCGTCAGGGCCGGGCAGGGACCGCACACTCGCTCGTACATGGTACTGATCCCGTGTGGGAGGCCTATTCACACTGCGCTACCCATGGAGCACGAAGTGACAGACAGACACACAGCTACCACCACGTTCAAGTAAAACGTTTATGCGGATGTCTACAAGGGCCCACGTGACTCATCGACCTCTCCCAGGTGGACGGCACACCTGGGAGGCCAGAGGGAAGCTCAAGGAGAATGCCCAGACGTAGGACAGAAGTCTTTCTTTCACATCCGTCCATAGGACTGGAGAGAGGAGTTCCTACAACATGGCCAAGAAGAGCTCCTGGGTGACTCAGTAAAAACGAGAGGACTGAAGGGCACACCACTCTCAACCAGGCAGCAGAGGGAAGGAGAACGTGCGTAAGCAGGAGAGCAAAGGAAATGAGACGGACAAGTGAGAAGGCCGAACAGCACTCCCTGATCCGCAACGAGAGACTCTGTCTGGTCTCCAAACCCCACCATCAACACCAGAACGCCTCTTCCAGGGGAAGTAAGAGGCGGTGGGTGTCACTGCTAACACCAGGTCCCAGCCCGCGAGTCCATGCTGCCGGCATTCCCACCTTCTCCTGGCAGGCCACTGGGACCTGCCCTGGGGAGGGCCCCCTGCCTCCCTACCGTGGACAGGAATGAGGGACGCCTCCAGCTAAAAGCTCATGGAACGGAGGCCCTGGACCTGCCGACAACCCGAGTGAGCTGGAGGTGAGGGCCACCGGCTGACCACAGCCCTGAGAGGGAGCCGCAGCCAGGTCCCACACCAATCTATGCCCAATTCCTGACCAGAGAAGCTGGGAGGCGCTAACCAGTGGGGTCTGACTCCATGCGGCTCGGTGGTCTCTCTGGTCAACACGACCTTCCAGAAACACTCAAGAGACGGACGCGTGAGGGCGCTCCCGGGCATATACAATCACCGCAGAACAGACCCCGCCTGAGAAGCTAACCACGGAGCAAAAGCTCGTAACTTAGTGTCCTCATCACCTAACGCTATAAAATGAGCTGCAAATCATTATGATCAATTTTGTTCCATTTTGTAAAATCAAACACACATACCCAAAACATTCTCAGCACACAGATTACTGCGGCAACACAAAGCCCACTTCAGTCTTGAGGAGAGAGACCCTGTACCAAACATCTCCACGAGGCGGCTCAGGCTGGCTGCCTGGCCTGTGTGCCAGATGGCACCGAGGGCTCAAACTATTCTTCTAAGAGGACTGTTACAACTTCTCAAACAAGAGTTTCTTTCTTTCTTTTTTTTTTTTTTTTTTAAGTTGTTCTAGAGCCTTAAAAACAGAAAAAAAGGAAAAAAGAGAAAGAAAAAACAGAGGCTGTCCATCATCCCATTTCTCAGGGCGGTCAGTGCGTGCAGCAGCTCTCCCACGGCAGCAGGCAGCCCACCCAGGCGCCCCCCCCCCAGGGCACCCAACAACGTCCAAGTCTGACACTGAGGGGTTTTCTTTTTGGCCTTTTCCTACAATGACCTAATAAGCTTTTTCTAATAATCTCTTACTTCCACGGACCTTTCCTTTTTGAAGTTTCTACATCCCAAGAATAATACCCAATTACTATGTATAGCGTATCTGTGCGATAAAGAGATAAAGGTCTTAGAAAACGACACATATTCTAATATTCTAAATAGGTTCTAGCTAATTATAATTCTTCAGTCAAATGAAATTATTCTGATAGCAATATTAAGCAGTTAACACGTCTTATTTTAGACAAAATACAATTTCACCTGCATACACTGAGATGTACTAAAGTAAAACAGACTACAGAAAAATCTAGATTCTTCTTCATGTATATTATATCTTATACAAAGAAGTTAAGATTTAAAATAACTGTCTCAAACAATTTCCTTCGGATTCAAAGTTATTGCAATCAGGCTAATTGTTAATCACATTTAGAAAGGTCTAAAATATATTAAAAATGCATCAACCTTTTCCACTATGATGAGGTCTCCAACTTGTATGTCTGAACTCTTAACTTGCACTTTACCTTAAAAAAAAAAGAAGAAGTATAATCAACTCAAGGAAGCAGTAACACACCAGAGTTAAAGTTTCAATTGACTTTTAAGTGACACTTAAGAAATAACTTTCGGGGATGGTGGGGGGAACACCAGGAATTGATCCGTACTTAAACTTTCAAAATAAATTTATTTCACATACACACGGTCACTAAAAATTAACCCCTCTTAGTCAGCTCCCAAGTACAAACAGTTAACTGCCCCCCAGTAAAAGACGTGGGGTCTGGGAGAGGGCTCCAACCAGAAGGTTCTTCCAAATCTGCCATTCTTTCAGGTCTGGGTCCAGCAATGACGATCAGAAACGGCACTTAAAGATGATGTAATGAGTGAATAACATGAAGACGTAAGCCCCTTGCATTAATGCTGTGAACGGCATCAACTGACACAGGACTGACAGAGTAAAGGACATGACACACAAAGCCACCGCGTGCCGGCAACGCTGCGGATGGCTCACACTGGTAACTGATGTGGGCAGGGCCGAAAGCTTCATGGAGAAGTGACTCTTCCACATGATGCGGTGGTAAATTCTTAGATTATCTATATAATACCTCGATATCTACATACTCTCTATAGTATCTAGTACAATAATCATCTATAAAACTAAACAGATAAACGCTACATAACGTTAACAGCATACAGGTGGATGAACTGTGATACACGTAATTTGAGACCCCGTCCTACGTAAGTAACAAAACTTACTTAAGTTCTCTCTCTCCCTGGGACTCTGGGCCCTGCCCCAACCCCACAAATCTCCCTTTTAGAACTGGCAATAGCCTTGTGGATCTCTTTTTACCTTTTTGTGGCTCTTTTAACAGGGGAAAAGACTGTCTTTCCATTCAATTTACTCTGAAACCTAACAGAACAAAAGGGAAGTTCACGTCACATTATCGGTGAGCAAAGCTCCTCACTGATCTCACACTCCCTGAGTGTTACTCCACAGATTCCTGCCTTATCACTTAATTTTATTTTCTCTCCTACCATCCAATCCACTTTTCCTTCCTTCTGCCCTTCTGTATTCTCTGTAATGGACGCATTCAAAAAGGAGAGGCGGAGACTTACTTACAATGAAATGTTTAAGGAAGACAGGTGACGGTAAAACAGCGCAGAAAGTTCTCACGCTAAGAACATGAACAAAACAGGAGAAGGCTGCCATGTTAAATCAGTATGGCAATCTGTCTCATATGCCTGCTCAAAGTACACATTTCTAAATTGTGAAGAATTGGTCAAATTGCTTAATGGCTCTTGGTTCTCTAACAATTTGAATTAATCTGTGTGGGGGACTCCTTGTACTTCCTTTACAGCCTTGGTCACATGAACTCACCAACTTCTCTTCCTTCAAGAGCAGTCCGGGCATTAGACAGAGAAGCTGTAGGAACACTGCTTGCTCCCCAGACATCCTCCCCAACTCCCGCCCCCAGTGACCGCCCAGCACCATGACCCTCTCTGCCCAATGTGAACAGCTCATACCCACATGAACGGACTGATTACTGGCCACCCTTTGTGAACTGAGCTGACAGCTGACCTTAGTAATATACTACTATCAGAGTTGAGGGACCACTTCACCATCCCCCCCCCCAGCTCCTTAGGCCTATTTCTACAGCCAAGAGTTATTTATTTATTTGTTTATTTTTTTAATTTTTTTTAATTAACATATAATGTATTATTAGCCCCAGGGGTACAGGCCTGTGAATCGCCAGGTTTACACACTTCACAGCACTCACCATAGCACATGGTGCAACCACTGGAAAACAGCATGGAAGTTCCTCAAAAAGTTGAAAATAGGGCTACCTTATGACCCAGGCATTCGCACTACTGGGTATTTATGCTAAAGATACAAACGTAGTGATCCGAAGGGGCACGTGCACCCGAATGTTCATAGCAGCAATGTCTACAATAGCCAAACTATGGAAAGAACCTAGATGTCCATCAACAGACGAATGGATAGAGAAGATGTGGTATATATACACAATGGAATACTATGCAGCCATCAAAAGAAATGAAATCTTGCCATTTGCAACGACGTGGATGGAACTAGAGGGTATCATGCTTAGCGAAATAAGTCAGAGAAATACAACTATCATATGATCTCCCTGATATGAGAAAGTGGAGATGCAACATAGGGGATTGGGGGGAAGGAAAGGAATAAATGAAACAAGATGGGATCAGGAGGGAGACAAACCATAAGAGACTCTTAATCTCACAAAACAAACTGAGGGTTGCTGGGGGCGGGGGAGAGGGTGGTTGGGTTAAGGACATTGGGAGACTGTTAACGAAAGAAAATCCCTAGATTTTACACGTCAGAGCACAAAGAAAAGACAGAACTGCCACCTGCTATCACATCCCAAAAGAGCCACCAACAACGCAGTGTTTTTGAAATGGGCGTTTAAAACTTAATAATTTCAGAGCTATACTTGAAAGAAGCAAGTTCTAAATACAGTAACAACGTATAGGCAGCACTTAGACCTAAGGACAGTTGTTCTTAAAAACACTGTATTCGAGGGGCGCCTGGGTGGCTCAGTGGGTTAAAGCCTCTGCCTTTGGCTCAGGTCATGATCCCAGGGTCCTGGGATGGAGCCCTGCATCGGGCTCTCTGCTCAGCGGGGAGCCTGCTTCCCTCTCTCTCCGCCTGCGTCTCTGCCTGCTTGTGATCTCTGTCAAATAAATAAAATCTTAAAAAAAAAAAAAAAAAACAACACTGTATTCAATTTATCTCGAGTATAAGCTCTGGCCTTTCCTTTCTAATGAAATGGTTAACAGTGAATGTTACCAAGTAAGGTTACGAGCCATCTTCCCCTCTCTCTTAGCTACTGCCATGAAATCTTTCCATTAAGCCCTCCTCCCAGGAACAGTGTTCCTGCCTCCAAAGTGCAGCAGCTTCCATGTTTCTCACAGAAGCAAAGCATTCCGCCGGCTTGTGGCATGAACCAAGTTTCACGCACTCCTTTGAAAGATCACAAAGTAACTCAAAGGACTACTTATTCTTACTCCAAAGCTTCTTAAACATAGACCTGCCCACCAATCCCAGTGCTACTCATTTTTTACCCGAATAAAGATAATATTCTACAAACTGGCCTCCGTTACTATCAACTCCCTAATTCAATATGGACTGCAAACGAACTGGCTGACAAAACTAAGGATCAGGTTTACCTCCATCCAAAAAATCTCCATTATTTGACAATTACTTAGAAGATAATTCAGATTTATATCAGTATACACATGTTTTTCAAGACTAATCTCAAATTAATTTTCTGGGTTTCAAACGGTCTACATACACTTTCAGTACGGTGTCCTACAATTCTCTGGGGCCCAAGTTCTCTGTACTTGCTATTTCTTTTGACTGGGAGCCCTCCCTTCACAGCTCTCCTTAGTTCCAAGCAAATAGCCTCCCAAAGCCTCCAGGGCCCCACATGAGCACCAGCGGTATGCACGCGCTCCTCTCTACAATGTGCTTATCTGGGACGAACAGACAAACACCACTGCGTGTAATAAGCCCAGACCCTGTGACAGCTTCAAAGCATAAGTGAAATATACTTCTATGACATTGAGTTTGTTCTTCGCCAACACATCGAACAAACTGACCCCATTTCAAACAAGAGATGCTCATGACCAACGTATTCTTACTCAGTTGAACAGGTCCAATGTCATCATGGACTAACGGGAAAGCAGCTGTATAAGCCACCCTGAACTAGGCACAGACACCCACAAAGGATGACAATGTATTAATTACTTCTTTTCCAACAAAACATACACAGGTAATGAGTGCGAGATAATTAAGCAGCTTTTTTTTTTTTTTAAGATTTTATTTATTTGACAGACAAAGATCACAAGTAGGCAGAGCAGCAGGCTGAGAAGAGGAAGCAGGCTCTCTCCTGAGCAGAGAGCCCGATGCGGGGCTCGATCACAGGACCCTGGGATCATGACCTGAGCCGAAGGCAGAGGCTTTAACCCACTGAGCCACCCAGGCGCCCCAGTTAACCAGCTTTTTAAAAAAGGAATTGATCACATGTAAGTGCACCCTAGGAGGTCACCAGCAGATGACACACGAGTTTCCTGGGCGGACCACTGCACACCACACCAGTAGGCTGCTCAGCTGGTCTCTGCTGTTCGGGTGGGACCAGCAAGCCTGGCTGTGAGGTAGAAGCCTAATTTAACATGGATTATGAAGCAAAGTGGGTAGCTGGGAAATGCAATTAATACATTTATTTACATATATAGGAAAATCATATTTTAAAAGAGAACTATGCTCTGAAAAGAAATACCACTGAGAGAAATTTTAAGACTTAAATAAAGGGAAAGATCTATCTCATTCATGGCTCAAAAGGTTTAGTATTAGTCAGATGTTAATTCTATAGGTTCAGTGCAATCCCAATCAAAATCCCAAGCAGACACTTCTACAGAAAATGACAAGCTAATTCTAAAAGTCGTATCAAAATACACAAGTCCTAGACCAGACCCTGAAAATGAGAAACAAGTTGAAGGGAAAACACTACCTGATTTTAAGAATTATTATAAAGAAACAGTAATTAAAAAAGAATGGTATTAGCATAAAGACAGACAAACAGGTAAGTGGAGTAGAAAAGTCCAGAACTAAACCAACACATAAAAGACAACTGATTTTCTTCTAAAAGATTTTATTTAATTATCTGAGAGACAGAGAGAGAGCACAAGCAGGGGGAGCAGCAGAGGGAGAGGGAGAAGCAGGGAGCCCGATGCAGGACTCGATCCCAGGACCCTGAGATCATGACCTGAGTCTAAGGAAGACGCTTAAGTGACTGAGCCACCCAGGAGCCCAAAAGACAACTGATTTTTGACGAAAGTGTAACATAATGCCATGTGAAAAAGATCACTTTTCCAGAACATGGAACACTTATCCAGACGCATCTGGATATCCACATGCCAAAAAAGTACATATATGCACACCTGGTACTGGTACAAAACTTCACTCAAAATGTATATACACGCAAACCCTAAT